TGGAGGGTGGCTACTTTTGTTCCCCATGTGTGTTGTAAAGTAGCCACCACTCCAAGCCCACTACTGCAATGGACTACAATCTCAATACAAATAAGTAAACTAAACATGAGATTGGGGCTGAAACTACTGAACTGTGGGACATAAATGGCGGACAAGACTGGACTGTGCAATTCTGACCAGGACTGGATGCCATCTATCTCGCTAGATGGAGACTTCTGGTTCCTGGGTACTTCTGAAAAGACACTTCTTTCAAGCCAGTTCCGCAGACCAACACTTAACTAAAAATTGCTCTGTATGTTCACTGAAGGAGACTCATGTGAGAAATGAGATGTCTAATCTCTATCAATCTGCTGATACAGAGGCTCAAGGCTGCAGACCTTGGATCCAAATGTTCTAGGTGCAGGGGGTCAGCATACATAGGGAACAGGTCCCTTCTACTGACCTTAAAGAGGAACTTTACCCATATCTTCAAAATAACAACAAAGGCACCTTTAGAAATGTTTAGTAATGACAATCTACAAACACATACTTCTAGATAATTGCCGGCTTTTTATTTTTTGCATACCTCATTTTTCTTTTCTTCCCCAGTCTTCTGGCAGTGGCCATTTTAACTAAGGGCATGTTACTGGATCTCTCTTTACTTACTGGAACTCTGGCACATGTGACTGACATGTGACTATGCACATCATCTCGGGAGGAAAATGCCTTTCCCTGAGATCTCATGAGATTACAGATGAGATTTCTCAGCAATGCACTGCTGATGTAACCTTCCCAGGATGCACTGCTTGGGCACAGGTACATCATTTGTGCCAAAGTGTGCCAGGAAAAAAAGAAATTGTAAATAAAATAAAAATAGGTTTGTTTAGCTAATGAATGTGGGATGATTTCATATCAGCATGCAGAGCTGTATACCAATGTGATCTTTAGTCCAAGGGGGCAAAGGTCCACTTTAACCAAGTCAGTAAAGTCCGGCAGAGACGTATCACAGCCAAGGCAGGGTCCACAGCAACTCTGCCAAAGAGAACAAGGTCTTTAAAAGAAGCTCCAGCGCTAGTCAATGGGCTCCTAAAAGGCAGGTGCATCCTCGACCGGCATGGTTAATGTTTTGTAAAGGCAGAACACTGTCGTATAGACAGAATGGACAGACCACTTTTTAAGAAATTCTTCCACAAAAGTGTACAAGGGTGCTATTCATTTGGGAGGCATAACTTGTCACGGTTATATACATTTCCATAAAAGAAGGCGGAAAACAATGAATGCACCAAAAAGGTTTTAGAGGTCTTAGGGCCCGTTCACACCAGATGCAGTGTGTTCTGGCCCGATCCTAGCCAGAACACACTGCCTCACATTGTGGCCAGGAGGGGGCATGACGGGCCATTGAAGTAAATGGCACCGTAGCCACGCCCTGCAGCCGCAATGCGATCGGCCGCATGGGATCGCAAGTCACAATATGCCTGCATTCCGGTCAAAATAAAGCTTGCAGCATTTTGATCGGACCGCAGGCATAATGTGCCTTGCGATCCAGTGCGGCCGATTGCATTGCGGCCGGAGGGCGTGGCTATGGTGCCATTCACTACAATGGCCCGCCACGCCCCCTCATGCACCACAAAAAAGTGAGCCAGCCGCAATGCGAGGCAGCGCGTTCTGACCAGAATCGGGCCGGAACGCACTGCATCTGGTGTGAACGAGCCCTTAGGCACACTAAGGAAGCCTAAACTGGGAACATTGGTGTTCCAGTTTGAAGTGGTGCAAACCCCATCAATAAGAGGCGAGACAGGGTTTAAGTTAGAGAGTAATAGCAGAGCCCTGCGACTCACAGGTGTAGCATCCTCCGTAAGGGACTTATAAGGCTCTGTATTAGAGAGTTTCTTAGAAGCCAAAGGCTCAGAGGCTTTTACTGTCATGAGCAAGTCAGAAAAGGATATCCCACTGCACAGCGACTCCTGTATGGGTGTCAGGCGATCCATGAGTCCAGCAACCAGAGCAGGAGGAAAATAAACGCCCTTTCTGAGGATCTACACAAGGCCCATGTTGCAGCCTTGGTTACCCAACAGTCCAAACTCGTGGTATGCTCACCCACAAGAGGAAACACAGGATGGAACACAAACAATGGCCATGGCCTCCGAACAAGGTATGCCCCAATAAATAAAGGGCTACCATGTACTCCCCGTGGTCCCAGGTCTATACATACATGTAACAAATGGCAAACACACGCATAACTTCATAACTAGCTCTAAAGCAATGTGCACATGGAAGGGCTTTACACAGTACAAAGACAAAAATTCCCAGCACACTCACCAGTCAGCCTGCAAAAAAAGTACACTGACTAACTACTAAGGTTAAAAACAGAGGTTTTAGTTGCACAACTTTTGCAAAACCTGTGGAAGCCGCACTGCCTCGTCAAGGCCCCTCTGTATAGTGCGGTCCTAACTCTGATCTAGGAATGTAAATCCCTTCCATGTGCACCTTGCTTCAAAGCTAGTTATGAAGTTATGAGTGTGTTTGCTGTTCGTTTCACTTGCTGAATTGGGGGGCTTCAGCTGCCTTCGTGATGTGTGGAGCTCCTTGTGTGTGCCTATGCCTTTAGGTTGGGCTACCTCCTGGCGAACCTGCATCCAATTCATCCTTTGCTATAAATATGCTCCAAGATGGAGGCTCTCAAAAATTAAGAGTTAGGACCACACTACACAGAAGGGGTCTGACTCTAGATGAGGCAGTGTCCCCGAGAGCCGCACAGCCACCCTGAGTGCCCGTACAGACCCCTTCAGAGTTGCACAGCCCCCCTGAGCCCATACAGACCACAAGAGAATCCGCAGCGCACCCCCCTGAAAGTCACACAGCCCATCTGAGAACTGCACAGCGCCCCTAAGAGCCCACACAGCTCCCAAGAGCCTGCGCAGCTCACCTGAGAGCCCACACAGTCCTCCACAGACATCAGGCCATCAGCCTGAGTATGTATGCAACACAGAGTATGTAGCTTCATATTATTCTGCATTGCTGTATAATGTATTGCTGGGATATATAGTCTTCTATAGTTGGCGGTATTCTGCATTGCTGTATATTGTATTGCTGGGCTATGTAGTACTCTATAGTTGGCGGTATTCTGCATTGCTGTATATTGTATTGCTGGGCTATGTAGTACTCTATAGTTGGCGGTATTCTGCATTGCTGTATATTGTATTGCTGAGCTATGTAGTCCTCTATAGTTGGCAGTAATCTACATTGTTATATAATGTAATTTTTGAGATTAGTTCCTCTACAGGTTGGAGTCAGTGGCAGAGCTACCAGGGTCACAGAGGTCACAGCTGCAACTGGGCCCAGGTGCTCCACCACTGACTCCAAGCTGTAGAGAGACTATTCCCTTGCAGTGTGCTGCAGGACATGTACCTTAGTAGCACACTGCAATGGAACATTTCACTCATTAGCACAGTACAAAAGGTACATGTCACTCTGTAGTGTAGTTAAAACCTCTTGTATTGTATTTTTCTTCTACGAATGCAAATAATTCATTCAGACAGTCGTATGAAGTGTTTTTGTAAAATAAATCATCAGTATTCGGGTCTAAGTGCGGGGTTGGCACTTTGAGACACATAAGTTGGTTTAGTGATGCAGTTTGGGCACTCGGGCTCAAAAAGTTTTGCCATCACTGGTCTATACATACCACCCAGGGAGGGGGGATCCCATACTGCCATCGGTGACTTGGGACAGGGAGCCACCGCCAGCTCCGCCACATACCATAGACTGTCACCCTGCGTTCTGCCGCATTCCATACACTGCCACCTGCAGCTCGGTCACATTCCATACATTGCCACCCTCAGCTCTGCCACATTCCATACATTGCCACTCTGATACTGGCACCCATCCGATCAACTCTCCACAGAGCCCTGCAGAGATCCACATGCAGCCCAGGTGAGATTGCAGCCTTCTGCTCTGCTGGGATCTATTGTGCTGTGGTGGGATCTATTGTGCTGCTGTATCTACTCTATTGTGCTCTGCAGACATCTGTATTATGCTCTGGTGAGAAACTGACCTAAAATAATTACTGTATTGTTTTAGAAAAAAATGTCACATGACCCTTTAAGAAAAAGTATGGTAATTGGTATCGGCAAGTACCAGTACTTGGTCTTGAAAAAGTGTCATCGGGACATCCCTAATTGCCCCCTCAGCTCTGCCACGCTCCATACACTGCCACCCTCAGTTTGGCCACATTCCATACACTGCCACACTCAGCTCTGCCCCCATTCCAAGTACACTGCCACCTTTAGCTCCACTCCAATTCCTGTAAACTGTCATCCTTAAAGCGGACCTCTTTACATTCAAATTATACCAATGCATTCCTCTATGTATGATGATTAATAATAACATAGAGATGTCAGGTATAAAATGCTGTGATTATGAAATACTTACACTTGCAGAGCATTCACTTCCTGCTTTGAAAGGGCAAATGACTTCAGTTTGCCAAAGCAATGCACACTGGGATTGTCTTGTCATCAGCAGAGCATTGCAGGGAAATCTCATCTGTAGGCTCATGAGATCTCTGGGAAAGGCCTTTTCCTCCCTTGAGATGATGTGCATGGTCACGTGTCTAGTCACATGTGCCAGAAATCCAGGAAGTAAAAGGAGAGCTAGTAATCTGCCCTTAGTAAACATGTCCACTGTCAGAAAAATGGGGAAGAAAAGAGAAACAAGGAATGCAAAGAATAGAAATCCTGCACTGATCTAGAAGTATGTGTTTGTAGATTGTCATTACTAAACATGTCTAAAGGTGTGTTTGTTGTTATTTTACAGCTATGGGTAAAGTTCCACTTTAACTCCACCTCCCCCCTGTCACCCTCACCTCTGCCCCCATTTACCGCACACTACCACCCTTAGCTCCGCCCTTGCTGTATGACGCATAGTACACTCATGGTCTCCATGTACGTACACGTACTCCGTACCCAGCGATAACCTGCTCGCAGCTCCTCCCTGACAAAACACTGTCAGGAGCGCACCGCACTCACCTCGCTGCGAGTGACCTGCAGCTGGTAGAAGTCCTTGCTCGGCGCCGGCGCTTGTCCGTCACACTCGAACAGGATCTCCGGCAACAGCGCCGCCATCTTGAGACGCTAACGCGGTTGCTAGAGAAACCAAGGCGAATTACACCTTCCCTGAGGGATCCCTGCGCGCTGTGGGGGGGTGGAGACTAGTCGTCCGCAGATCCCTCCGCCTTGCATACATACCCGAACAATAAGCACTGGACGCCTAACAGTTCGTCCTGGGAAGTCACAGCGGCACAGCGTGTAATAATCGTCCGGGGCGACCCTGGCGAAAATAAACCGAGTTCGGCCAGCGGAGGGGTCCTGTGGGGACCAACAACTCTTCCCGACAATCTCTTAATAGAGAAATCGACGGCAATAAAAGGGAGCATTACGTAAAAAGAAAATTGCCCTCGGCGAACGGACGTCAGAGTCACTGATCACGTCATCCAGAGAGGGCGAGAGGCCCTATGAACCTTTCCACGTAAAGGCCGAGAGCCGCGGTAGCTGTCCCGGTGAATCTGCGTTTGCCCCTTCTTTTTCCCCGCAAAGTAGTCCGCGGAGGGATACTGACTAGGCCGCGGCATGGAGATGTAAAGTAGAACCGGAGCGGAAGGATCCGTAGCAGTAAAGTAGTGCGCGGAAGGATCTGGGCCGCGCGTCCTCAGCTGATCGGAGAGACGGCAACCGGAGAGAAGCGGAGGAGACAGAGGTACCCGGGGAGGGCCTCGTAGGGCTGTTCGGTCACACTGGACGGTCGCGTCCGGTGGAATATCAGTTGTGAGGAGGAAAGTGAGCATAGAGATGTGAGTTCCTGTATGCCAGGGAGGCTGAAATGGCATCATAACACATGTAGGCATTGTACACAGTGCTATACAATAGGACGAGCGCTGCCATGGAAGAGGCCAGCTCAGGGCTGCCCCTGGACTGCCCGCAGTCTCAGCCATCCAGAGCAGGACGTGTTATCAGCCTCGTATGAGGTCATTGCTGGGCCCTGTCGTATCATAACAACACAGGCCCAAGTGAGCTCCGTTCCCTATTACATCTAGTTCTAGGCCCTTAGTGAGCTCCGTTGTCCATAACATCCAGGTTCAGGCCTCATAACATCCCACTCCAGGCCCTTGGTGAGCTCCAATCCCCATAACATCCAGGTCCAGTCCTCATTACATCCCATTCCAGGCCCTCGGTGAGCTCCAATCCCCATAACATCCAGGTCCAGTCCTCATTACATCCCATTCCAGGCCCTTGGTGAGCTCCATTCCCCATAACGTCCAACTCCGGGCCCTCGGTGAGCTCCATTCCCCATAACGTCCAACTCCGGGCCCTCGGTGAGCTCCATTGCCTATGACATCCTGCTCCGGGCCCTTGGTCGGCTCCATTGCCCATGACATCCCTTGGTCGGCTCCATTGCCCATGACATCCCGCTCCGGCCCCTCGGTCGGCTCCATTGCCCATGACATCCCGCTCCGGCCCCTCGGTCGGCTCCATTGCCCATGACACCCGGCTCCGTGAGCTCCATATACATGCATCTCCAGGCCCTCAGTGAGCTCCAGGCCCTCAGTGAGCTCCATTCCCCATTACATTCCAGCGCTAGGCCCTCAGTGAGCTCCATTACAACCCGCTCAAGGACCTCCGTGAGCGCCATTACATCCAGCTCCGGAACCTCAGTGAGCTCCATTCCCCTTTATGTCCATCTCCATTCCCTATTACATTTAGGTCTTGGACCACAGTGAACTCCATTCCCCATTCCTTATAGCTCTAGGGCCTCAGTGAGCATCATTTCATTCAGTTCCAGGCCCTCAGTGAGTTCTGTTCCCATTACATCCAGTTCCAGGCTCTCGGTGAGCCATATTACATCCAGTTCCAGGCTCTCGGTGAGCCATATTGCATCCAGTTCCAGGCTCTCGGTGAGCCATATTGCATCCAGTTCCAGGCTCTCGATGAGCCCCATTCCCCATTACTTTTAGGTCTTCGACCACAGTGACCTCCATTCCCCATTCCTTCTAGCTCCAGGACCTCAGTTAGTTCTGTTCTCCATTACATCCAACTCCAGGCCCACAGTGAGCCCTATTACATGTATCTCCAGGACTTTAGTATGCTCCATTCCCCATTACATCTAGCTCCATTACATTCATCTTCAGGCCCTGTATGTCCATTCACATCCTTCATCTGCTTCAATTTGTCTTTAACTAGAAATGTGCTTTATTTTCTATGGGATTGATGTCAACACAAGTGTTCCCAGTGCTGGAATGGGAATGTACTGAATGTATAATGTTTTAAAGCTGTAGAACTTGGGGGGGGGGGTCAGCTTTATTATTATTCAGGATTTATATAGCGCCAACAGTTTGTGCAGCACTTTACAATATAAGGAAGACATTACAGTTCCCAAACAAGACAAGATGGTAAGGAGGGCCCTGGCCCTAAGGGCTTACAATCTAAGAACACAGCTTTATTTATATCTAACCTGGCCTTTTGGATCAAGTCACAAGCAGCATGTCTTGCCATACCATAATAATATCTGTAGTAAGCTGTCATTTTTGTTTCATTTCATAGCATGGAGGAGTTAGTTATCCAATGCTCTTTCGGGAGCTTGTTTGAGTTCTTAATTTGGAGTAAGATCTCCTACACGGGTGTAATAAAATACCAATATGAACGCAGGCAGAAAGAATCTGCTTATAAAAATCCGCATGTAATGCTCCTAAAAGTGCTTCTGTTTACACGTGGAAATGTAAAATTCTTTTTGCATTCCCCCCAACTCTGTTTTCAATCCTAGCTTGCACATGTGTGCGCTATTGCAGAAATACTGGTCGCTGGCGCAGAAATGTCCAACTTTTATTTTACGTAACTGAACGCAGTGCACATTTACAAAACGCTCCCCAGCTGTGCACGGGCCCAGAATATATGCAATGTTTCTGCACGCGGATCTATAAAATAAAACTATACGCCGTACAAATCTCTAACGCCGCTTTAATTTTTTGCGCCCGTGTGCATGAGTCGTAAACGATCTACCCGGGGCTGTCTTCTACAGGCCCTGTGGTATTATTTTCATTTCATCTTCTGGATCTGATTTCCATGGCTGTCTTTTGTGTTCTATGCCATATCATTAAATTTGGACTACCGTTGACCGGTCTGCTTGCATAACCGTGTGCCATGTTTTATGATGTGTCACGTGTGAAAACAAAGCTCTTGTCCACGTATGAACTGAACGTTTCCGGCCTTTGAAGGCTTTCAGTATGTGGAAATAATGAGATTATGCAGACGTTCTCTGTTGCGTTGGTCACGGTAGACGTGAGCTAAATAAACATTTTGTGACGTGCTTAGTCATCTGGGGTATGTGTCCCCCTCAGTCTGTGCTTTCTGTCCCCCCATCAGGGGTATGTGAAGAGCCGGGCTCTTTGTCACAGCACAGCTTCCTGTTATTGTTCTTGAAGGATTTGGCCTAGTGACGTTCTAGGTGCTCTACCTGATTAAATCCCACTTGTCAGTCTCCTCCGTGTACTCGGCCTCCTTTTGCAGTATGAGGAAGGGGACGTCTCCTCGGCTCTGCTGGTCACGAGGTCAGTGTCGTGCCTTTTGATGGCCTTGACATGAGTGTGTTGATTTAGCATAGACACAACGCACTCTGCTCAGCTTGGAATAGTCTGACGTTGCTTTGTTTTTTCATTTTCTCGGGTTGCAATGATTGGAGTGAATGTTAGAGGTCGGCTGCAGAATGTTGTAATGTCTGCTTTTATTTGATAGGGACGGGGAGGTTTTGGATGAAAGGATCTGTATCCTCTGCGATGCCTGTCGGAGATCGGCCTGCAGTGTCCCATATAAATTGTAGCTGGTGAGACGTGACTGCATGGGCATAGCGCAGAACACCCAGGGCAGCATTAGCCATGAATGTCACGCAGGTAGCTGGAACCAGATTACAGGGATATTAAATTCAAATATTGTTATTACACATTCATAGAGGGACCATTTTTGTTTTCAAAGTATCTGTACAGAAAAGTGTCCGTGCCCCTAATCTAGGCTACCCATAGTTCAAGCAGCTGTGCACCGTGATATACACTTATACATGATGTCAGAGTATTGCACTGCGCTAATAAGTAATTGAATAATCAAATATATTAAATAGAATAGACTGTATTCAAATTCACATCAAATCCAGTATATCAGTGAAAAAAAGTGTATAAAGCTACAAATGCCAGCACTGCACACCCCCAACCAACTGCAACCTCTCACATGTGACATTTGTAGCTTTATACACTTTTTCACTGTTATACTGGATTTGCTGTGAATTTGAATAAAGTCTGCAGTATTGGAATTCTCCGGATAGTGCGGTCTGTTCGCATACTGCTGCATTCTAAGGTGGAGACGCACCTATTGGACCAGCACCTGGGGAGTCCTGATGGTGGCTAAGGAATTGGAGCGGTGAAATTTCCTTTGGCTCTACATATTAAATAGAATGTAACCACAATAATCTATGACCCAGTAAAAAGAATCATTTTTAAATTCATTATTTAAATGTGACCAAGTACCCAAAAAGTGTCAGCCCCCCATAAAAATCAGTCATTACTATAAGTATGGTATTTGAATTATTGAGATTTCTTGAAAACAATTGGATTTTATTTGATTTTGATTTCTTATGAAATTGTTTTCAATTGGATGCATTTTGATGTGATATTTGGGAGATTAATGTTTGAATTTTTTGGAGGGCTATTAAAAAAAAAAAAAAAAGCGGTTTAAACTTACCCCTGTCTTCGCCACGCGCTCCCGTCCGAGAATCCGAAACCGCTCAGGCGGCTGCAAAGCATCTTGGGGCAGGCGCAGTTCGCAAGGTAAGTCTATGGACGCGTGCACCCGCATGCAGACACCGTGGGACAGGAAGAGTAGTCAGTGCTGGATCGGAGACTTGCAGCAGCGCTGGAGAGAAGACTGAAAAGGACAGGAAAGAAGATCGGATTAAGAGACATCATTTAAGGTAAGTGCTTTAATTAACATTGGGGGGGGGAGAAAGTGATCCTTTAATGTCACTAAGTATTGAATTTGAATATAATGTTTTGTTATTGGTTCATAGATTATTGTGGTTACATTCTATTACATTAATTAATAACACAGTGCAATATTCTGACATCATTTTGTTAAAGTAGCTTGTGGTAAATGAGGCAATATCTGTTTTCTTTACATGGATAGGGGTTGTTTTGCTTTTTACTTCACAAATCAGTAAAAATCTTATGTTCTGTTAGTGTATCTATAGGCATTTTTGTTTTCTTCGCTTCCTTCTGTATTTTCAATGAAATGTTTCACTTGCCTTCACCCTGAAGCTTTGAAGTCCTGTGTTTAGCCCCTGTAATGTCATAAGTCAAATGAGTCAGGGCCCGAGCCCGGAGGAGGGCTGCTGGCGTCACTTCCTCCAGATGCTATGTAGACACCCTCTTTTTTTTTTTTTTTTTTGGAGTGTGGGAGAAAAGCGGAGCTTCCAGAAGAAACCTACGCCAGCACAGGGAGAAATGTCATGCAGATAGTGACCTGGCCGGCATTTGAACCAGGCACCCCAGTGCTGCAAGGCAGAAGTTGTAACCACTAAGCCACTGCGCTGCCCATTGTGTACGGTGACTGGCGGTTTTCTGCACTGGATCAATACACGGGCACACAGAAAACAATGGTTTCCTATGACCAGAACACTGGTGTGATGTGCCATGTGGAAAAATTTAGGCGTGCTGCGGTTTTTTTTGC